TTTTTTATGTCTTACAATTTTTGTGCTGTGGAACATCGCTGTGCATAAAGTTCAAATATCATATTCTAAGTTCACCTGTTCTGTAACACGATGGCAGGAAAAAGAACATATTTAAGTTGGCCCAAGGTGAATATATAGCACCAGAGAAGATTGAGAACGTATATGCTAAGTGCAAATTTGTTTCCCAGTGTTTTATCTATGGTAGGTTTCTAAAATACTTTGTATTGTAAGTTACACATGTTTGTGGTCAGTATAGGCTTAAATTTGATGTATTACATTGGGCAGGTGACAGCTTCAATTCATATCTGGTGGCAATTGTTGCAGTGGAGCATGATGTACTAAAATCATGGGCTGAATCTGAAGGGGTCAAGGTTGCTTCCAATCCCACTTAACCTGGAATTCTTCCCGCTTTCCTGTGAAAATCATCCCTGTTTCTTGCTTTTGAGTCTATTGATACCAATAGCTCTATTGCAAGGTACTCCACTTTTTTTTTTTCTGTGGCTCACCTAAGGGTAGCTAATAATCAAGGAGAAAGGGGATTTGTTATCATCCCAGTGACCTAAGGTGGACTTAATCTTAGTTTTACAAGACCAACAAAAAGATGAATAAAGATCAGCTATATGTGTCCCTAATAACCAAAATATCCTAGTCCTAATCTGAATCCTAGACTATAAGATTCTTGGACAACAATCCTAGTCTTACTAAACAATCCCGAATGAATGATAGCCCCTAATATTTTTTCCTTCTACTTTAATTACCCTTGATATCCCAAAGAACTAAAAGATACAAAGACTTGGAAGATCTGTGGTACTTCCATTGGTTCTCCTAGGAGATTCAGGCGCACCCTTAGTTCTTGCCCCTTTTGAAGCATCTACATTAGGAGCTTGGTCCCTCCCCCTGACATGCCTTATGATCTTCAATGTAAAGTTTAGCAGTGATGATTATACAAAATATAAAGGCAAATAGGTTTCTCTTGCTTGCTGGCTCTCTCTGAAACCTACTATATGCACCCTATTTGATGGGTTATAACTGATATGCCTTCGTTTCATGTTAATATAAGATAGCAAGGTGGGATGACACACTAAATAATGGGAAGCTTGGTTGACACAATTCATGTGGGATGACACACTAGATAATGGGAAGCTTGGTTGACACGATTCATTTAATAACCAGATTAATTTGGTTGAGTTTAGGTTATACCAAGTTATCAGCAGCTTAGGTTAGCATCTGAATTTTTTTTTAGCTTTGTAATAATCAGATCAGGTATGGGCTATCCATGGACTGGTGAAAATTTACCAGAACTAACCCCAGCCATCCCCTGCACTAAATCTGTTGAATGCAACAGTTGTGCTTCACCTTGAGCTTTACCCCATGTCAACAGTCTCAAAGCAGCATGTTTATCCACAAGAAAGGTCCATCTGACTTTTGGGTTTAGAAAACTTTTTTGGTGCAAAGCCTTGAAGTGTATATTGATGTAGCTAATAGTTTTGGACCACATTGACAAAAAATGATTACGCAGTCAATAATGAGGCAGGCTTATAACAATTTATCTATCTCAATCACTTACCAGTATACGATTAAATCCTCAGCTTGTAGTTTTTTCCATACCAATCCTACTCGAAGCACAATATCCTCTTAGAATTTTTCCTGTGTTAAACTACCTAAGAGCACTTCCATCATTTTGGATTCCTTCGATGCTGAGGCAACAGGTAAAGCGGTTGAGGAAGTAGGTAGATGAGGAGGTGGATGAATGTTATTAATGTGTTCCTGATTTTGGAGATATCCTTCATTTTCTAACTTGCGCCATCTCTTCCTTTTGGCACAAGGAGTGACAATATTCTAATATACCATTCTGATCAGTCATCTTTTTGCGGTATCAAGAAACTTTTGATGCAGTTATATTATGCACCTATGAAAGCACTGGGTTAAGGAATTTCTGATTTCATTTCTTATTTGAATTTCTTCACTC